TTTTTTTTTTTTTTTTTTTTTAGTATTTCTAAATGTCCATAAGATGGCAGCATCTCAGAATCTTCCACATCACTTCCTTCTGAACAAATACTTCATCAGTTATTCCCAAATCCAAGCCCTCCCCCCATTTATGCCTTTCAATCACAAAGATCACCCCAAAATAACTAGATGGACATAAAATTCCATGTTTATTATGGAATTCAGCCTACTTGAGCACTATATTTCTATGGGCTTGGCATTACTGCCCCTAAAACGCTGAAATGAATTTTAACCAGTTAATCTGTCTTAGTTACTCACAGGAACCTACTAGAATAACTTAAATAGCTAATTTCTAAGGAACAAATAATTTCCCCATGTGTCTGCTATGCTGTCTTCCTTGCTGTGACTCAGATTTTAGAAGAAAAAGAATAAAACAAGAGACCTAGGTTTGGAATCTGACTGCCATTTTTTGACTATGGAGAAGTTAACTGACCATTCTGTGTCCAAATACTTATCTAAAAAATAAGCACTTCATGGTCTCCAAGATCTTTTTTAGTCTTTAGATCCAGAATGTAGTCATCTTTCAAATATTTTTGCCAACATCAATAACACCTCAAAGATTCCCCTAACTGGTTCACACTGATGCAAAAGCTGTTAGAGAATATTACTAAGCAAAATATGTTTCCAGTATCAGAATTAGCTGATAGAATAAAAGCTGAACTCTCAAAGATGGAAAATTTTCAACATAATAATAGTATTACTAGGAAATTTTTTCTATTATAATTTTGGTAAAAATAACTATCATTTAATAAACACAAATGTCACTTAAGGTCACATAGGTAGTGATTCAAGCATTCTGGGTCATGAATCTATTCAAGGCATGATCCAACCTAGGCTACAAAACAGGGGAGTCAGCTTTCATCACAGTGCTCAAAAAGTGGACTGGACTTAAAAAAAATAATAGATGCCTTAGTCTAAGCAGTGAAAACAGATTTTATTCAGTAACTGCTGACACTAGGGAAAAGAGCTGAGTTCTAATCTGACATGTGCAGAGGTGATTTGGGCATTTTAAAGAGAGAATGAGGGAGAGGGGAGAGCAAAGGCTCAGTAGTCAGAGAAATGAAAAATTATAGAGACAGTATAGACATCACTGGGCCAGCTGGATTTGTGAGCTGGCAGTTATTGAAGTTAGGACTGTGCCCTTCCACAGAGACTAGGAGACAGAAGCTCTTGCCATTCAGATGACTGCATTTCAAAGGAATATTTCTCAGGTCCTTGAGGAAGATACTTCTGAGTTATAAGAGATACATATTCGTGGTTGTAAGCCACCTTTAGTAAATGCTCTAAGAAAGGGAGATGAAGAGGCCTACTTTCAGATGTTGGCTAGAACAAACGGTAAATTTTTCTGGCAGCATTGGGCTTTCTCAGGTAGGCATTTTAAAGGGGAATTGAAGTTGGAGCTGGTCCTAGGGACACAGTCTTAAGCTATTTAAAGCTATGCTAGAATTTTGTCAAGTCTCCTACTTAGCACATGGAGCTGTTCTGTGCAGAGAGTTTTGAGGTTTTCAGGGGCTATAAGAATGTTCAAATTAGAATGCCAAGGTGAAAGCACAAGGCAGACTCAAAGCAAAAACAATGTGGAACAGAGTGGAGAGTGTAATCAGAGTTCAGTTCTAGATCCCAACCGCTAGAGAGGATTGGATACCTGTTTTGCCTAACTCTGAATGGACTTGTTAGCTTGGTGAAGCTGATTCTGCAGATTTTATCCTGCAAAGATTGTAGCTAAGCAAGGCTAAGACTGATAAAAGGATATTCTAAGCAGATTTTCTTTAATCAAACACAGTATCTCATCAAATGTGTTCGATGTTATTGATTCTCAGAATAAGACAGTACTCAGCACTAATCACCTTTTTGGAGCACAAGCCCTCATCCTCATTCTGGCCCTTCCCCCTCCTGTCTTCTGTTATGTCCTTACACTATTACAACACCTAGTCCTACAGAATCCTTTCTAGGCTCCAGGACATTAATGATCATCAACCAAGAGCCCCCAACAACCACTGCTCTCCTGTCACAGCCAAGTATTGCCTCTAGTTGCTTTGAGAATGCAAAAGTTGGACTTTCCCTAATCTTTTCCCTATACATTAGCAATAGGACTTTGCAAACAGAAGAACCCAAGTGCAGAAGTTGGTTCCACCATGATGAGCTCTCCAGTGAATCAGTTGTTTCTAATTGTTCTCAGTGTACAGTCCATGACATGGAAGCCATGAAGACGGTATGCCAGAGTTTCCGGGAGCACTTAGAGGAAACTGAGCAGCACCTTGAGGAACAGCAGGCATTCTTTTCCAGGGATATGTCAGAGGAGGAAAGGTAATTATCTAAGGGAGCCATAAAACTAAGTACCAGCTCACACACCTGGAGCAAAGAAAGGTAATCAGGGCAGGACAGATGAGCACCCTGGAGCAGGGCTAATGAGAAATCTGCCAGCTTTTGCTTTGCTTTCATGGTCTCATTCTTGCTGTCTCAGTGGGTGTCTGTGAGAACCATTTGCTAGGTAGGAACACTTATTATTTAGAGCCAGGGCTATTTGGAAAGGTCAGAAGGGTAGTCAACTGGAATGATGTGTATTGCCAGCAGGATATCTTTAATCAATGTAAATGGGGTTCACGCAAATGCGAGTTATGGGGATTACTAGAGTTTTGAAAATCTGCATTACTTTCACATAGATTAAAAATATATCCCAAAAGCAGATTGGTCATTTGTTGCTAGAGCTAAGGAATAGACATGAGTTTAACTATAAAGGGTCAGAGAGTATTTTTCTTGGGGAGGTGGCAGTACTTTAAAACTGGAGGTACTAGCAGTTACACTACTCAGTAAGTTTATTAAAAATAATTAAATTGTACTCTTAAAACAGAATAATTTAAGGATTAATAACTATACCAGTATAAAATTGTTTTAAAAAGAAGATACCCTGCCATAGTAATATTTCTATGTCTACAACAACGCAAATAAAGAAGGTGACAGTCTCTTTAAAATATGCAAAGGCAGAACCTACATTAGGAAAGGACAATGGAAGACTACACCTGAGGCAATTGTTAAATTTGATTGTTTTCTATTATTTTCATACAGAGAGGAGGCCAAACAACTGCAAACTTTACGTGGGGCCCTGAGACAGCAGGTGGCAGAGCTGGAATTCCAGTTAGGAGACCGGGCACGGCAAATCAGAGAAGGAATTCTACTGGTATGTATGGTGTGAGCAGGTATGGAGATTGACTGTATCCAACCTGCCACAGGAGGCTGCAAGACAATGCATTACATGAGAAACTTGATTATGCAATCATGTCATACTCTAGGGTTTGTTTTCACACCTGCACTTTAAGTATAAAAACCAAGTACCTTGGTTTGCTCAAGATCACACAGCTGGCTAATGGTGATCCTAGACTAGAACTGAAGTTCACCTAACTCCTTTGACAGTCTTTCCATCTGCCTCAAATTTAAGAGAGAAATACTATTAGCTGATTTTCCTAATTTTCCAAGAATCACAGGAATGGTGAAACTTACCTTCAAAAGTCAGTATGTGCTGGGAACCAGCAGTTAGTGTAATGGCTATATCGCTGGACTCCCACGTAGTCAACCACGGTTCGTGTCCCGGACCCGGTGTCTTAAAACTCACGCTGGGCGCGTGTGCGTGCGTGCCCAAGATCCCA